CCACCATTAATTGGATATTTGAGTAATATAAAATAAAAGTGAACTATACCTGAGTGGTTTCCCTTACAAAACAAAACTGCAGTCAGAGTGCAGTTTAACTGCAGTACACTGCAGTATAACTGCAGTTAGAGTGCAGTGTAACTACAGTATGCTGTAAATACTGTGTCCAAAATAGCACAGTTGTTTTTACTGCAGTAATTTTACAGTGTAACTGCAGTTAGAGTGCAGTATAACTGCAGTTCAACTGCAGTACACTGCAGCTATTCTGCAATTACTGCGTCCAAAATAGTTCGGTTGACTGCAGTTACTGCACTTTTACTGCAGTTTAAAAACTGCAATCTTTTTTTATTTTGTGGGCTCTGCCTGTCAAGCAGCAGAAGGGCGTATTTGCTGTGGTACTGTTAGCTGATAATGTTTACTTTGCAAGCTACCGGTATAAACTTTGTACAGTTGGCTAAACATATAGTGGTAAGTAGACCTAATGTACCTTTTTTCTCCAATCTATGTAGGCCTACCTAGCGAAGTTAGCTAACATGATCGATCCCCTTTTCAACATTGTTTTTAAGAGTGTTTAATTACGGGTTCTGCTGACAGACATGATATAGGCTACATTGATTGATGGACCATGTAAAAAATTGGCTAGCTAGCTAATAACAGATCACGTGAATATGGCTATTTAACAAGCTAACTTTCAGGGGATAAACTAGATGACTATACTCAAATATTGTTTGATTTGCTTGCCATCTATAGTGGTGATGACTGTAGTCCGACTGACAGCTTCACCAGGACGAGGACTTGACGATGTCAAGCTCTTTCCAAAAGCCTAATCTCTGATGGAGCAAGCTAAATTATGTTGTTTGCTTAGATAGCTACATGCCAAATGGATAGGTACCTTCCCGTATCCAAAATGACATGATCATTGATGTTTACTGATCATGAAAAGCATACAGTTACTTGCTGTATAACTGTGATGATAGAGCAAAATGTGCAAAATTGTTTTGCAAGTAAAAAAAAAAAAAAGTGTAGTTCTGACTATGCTCACTATGTGATGATATTAAAACCAAATAGTTATTACATTTATTTAACAATCCCTTGTAAATGCCACATAGTTGTCAATGGTTTTAGTGGAGCTGGGGGTCTCCTTGCCCCCCAGCAGCCAAATCTAATTAAATGTAAAGTTTTATTGAAAACAACCTACAGAGAATACATAGATATAGATAACAGAATGTTCTTATCTGGCGCTATTTAAACCGCTCTGCTTCTAGCTACAGTTGAAGTCGGAAGTTTACATACAATTAGGTTGGAGTCATTAAAACTTGTTTTTCAACCACTCCACAAATTTCATTTTGGCAAGTCGGTTAGGACATCTACTTTGTGCATGACACAAGTAATTTTTCCAACAATTGTTTACAGACAGATTATTTCACTTATAATTCACTGTATCACAATTCCAGTGGGTCAGAAGTTTACATACACTGTGCCTTTAAACAGCTTGGAAAATTCCAGAAAATGATGTCATGGCTTTAGAAGCTTCTGATAGGCTAATTGACATCATTTGAGTCAATTGGAGGTGTACCTGTGGATGTATTTCAAGGCCTACCTTCAAACTCAGTGCCTCTTTGCTTGACATCATGGGAAAATGAAAAGAAATCAGCCAAGGCCTCAGAAAAAAATGGTAGACCTCCCTCAATCTTGTTCATGCTTTGGAGCAATTTCCAAACACCTGAAGGTACCACGTTCATCTGTACAAACAATAGTACGCAAGTATAAACACAACGGGACCACACAGCCGTCATACCGCTCAGGAAGGAGACACATTCTGTCTCCTAGAGATGAACGTACTTTGGTGCGAAAAGTGCAAATCAATCCCAGAACAACAGCAAAGGACCTTGTGAAGATGCTGGAGGAAACAGGTACAAAAGTATCCATATCCACAGTAAAACGATTCCTATATCGACATAACCTGAAAGGCCGCTCAGCAAGGAAGAAGCCACTGCTCCAAAACCGCCATAAAAATGCCAGACTATGGTTTGCAACTGCACATGGGGACAAAGATCGTACTTTTTGGAGAAATGTCCTCTGGTCTGAAGAAACAAAAATAGAACTGTTTGGCCATAATGACCATCGTTATGTTTGGAGGAAAAAGGGGGCAGCTTGCAAGCTTAAGAACACCATCCCAACCGTGAAGCATGGGGTTGGCAGCATCATGCTGTGGGGGTGCTTTGCTGCTGGAGGGACTGGTGCACTTCACAAAATAGATGGCATCATGAGGAAGGGAAATTATGTGGATATATTGAAGCAACATCTTAATACATCAGTCAGGAAGTTAAACCTTGGGTCTTCCAAATGGACAATGACCCAAAGCATACTTCCAAAGTTGTGCCAAAATGGCTTAAGGACAACAAAGTCAAGGTATTGGAGTGGCCATCGCAAAGCCCTGACCTCAATCCTATAGAAAATGTGTGGGCAGAACTGAAAAAGCATGTGCGAGCAAGGAGGCCTACAAACCTGACTCAGTTACACCAGCTCTGTCAGGAGAAATGGGCCAAAATTCACCCAACTTATTTTGGGAAGCTTGTGGAAGGCTACTCGAAACGTTCGACCCAAGTTAAACAATTTGAAGGCAATGCTACCAAATACTAATTGAGTGTATGTAAACTTCTGACCCACTGGGAATGTGAATAAAGAAATAAAAGCTTAAATAAATCATTCTCTCTACTATTATTCTGACATTTCACATTCTTAAAAAAAGTGGTGATCTTAACTGACCTAAGACAGGGAATCTTTACTAGGATTAAATGTCTGGAATTGTGAAAAACTGAGTTTAAATGTATTTGGCTAAGGTGTATGTAAACTTCAGACTTCAACTGTATCTGTATCTAGCCTCATTGACACATAACAGTCTAAGGATGCATCTCAAATTCTACCCTATTTCCTACAGAGTGCGCTACTTTTGACCAAAGGGATGGATTGCCATTTGGGAAGCAGACAGAAATAACAGTCTTTCTCTTTGTTGTTTTGTCACGTCTGTGAGTGTGAAATTGAGAATCAAATGAGGGATTTCTTTGCCTGGCAGAACTCTGTTCCTCTTCTGATATAACCTGATGATACCAAGTCTGCCTCATTTGATAGGCTCCTGTCATTAACTGACTTGAGTTCTCTGGCTAGCTGGGTGGCTTTCCTTAAACTTACCAAACTGTAACATCCTTTTTCATGTTGAAAGACTGCTCACTTTTAGATTTACAGTTTATTCGGAAAGTATTGTGTGATATTTTCCACATTTTGTTACGTTAAAGCCTTGTCCTAAACTGGATAAAATTGTTTTTTTCCCTGATCAATTTACACACAATACCCCATAATGACAAAGCAAAAATAGATTTGTAAAATTTTTTGCTCATGTATTAACAACAAATAACTGAAACATTTATATAAGTATTCAGGCCCTTTACTCAGTACTTTGATGAAGCACCGTTGGCAGCGATTACAGCCTCGAGTCTTCTTGGGTATGATGCTACATGCTTGGCACACCTGTATTTGGGAAGTTTCTCCCATTCTTCTCTGCAGATTCTCTCAAGGCCTGTCAGGTTGGATGGGGAGAGTCGCTGCACAGCTATTTTCAGGTCTCTCCAGAGATGTTTGATCATGTTCAAGTCTGGGCTCTGGCTGGGCCACTCAAGGACATTCAGAGACTTGTCCCGAACCCACTCCTGCGTTGTCTTGGCTGCATGTTTAGGGTCGTTGTCCCGTTGGAAGGTGAACCTTCGCCGCAGTCTGAGGTCCTGAGCACTCTGGAGCAGGTTTTCATCAAGGATCTCTCAGTACTTTTCTCTGTTCATCCTTCCCTCGATCTTGACTATTCTCCCAGTCACTGCCGCTGAAAAACATCCCCACAGCACGATGCTGCCACCACCATGCTTCACCGTAGGGATGGTGCCAGGTTTCCTCCAGACGTGACGCTTGGCATTCAGGCCAAAGAGTTCAGTCTTGGTTTCATCAGACCAGAGAATCTTGTTTGTCATGGTCTGAGAGTCCTTTAGGTGCCTTTTGGCAAACTCCAAGTGGGCTGTCATGTGCCTTTTACTGAGGAGTGGCTTCCGTCTGGCCATTCTACCATAAAGGACTGATTGGTGGAGTGCTGCAGAGGTGGTTGTCCTTCTGGAAAGTTCTCCCATCTCCACAGAGGAACTGTAGAGCTCTGTCAGAGTGACCATCGGGTTCTTGGTCATCTCCCTGACCAAGGCCCTTCTCCCCCGATTGCTCACTTTGGCCGGGCGGCCAGCTCTAGGAAGAGTCTTGGTGGTTTCAAACTTCTTCTATTTATGAATGATGGAGGCCACTGTGTTCTTGTGGACCTTCAATGCTGCAGAAATGTTTTGGTAACCTTCCCTAGATCTATGCCTCGACACAATCCTGTCTAAGAGCTCTGCAGACAATTCCTTCGACCTCATGGCTTGGTTGTTGCTCTGACATGCACTGTCAACTGTGGGACCTTGTATAGACAGGTGTGTGCCTTTCCAACTCATGTCCAATCACTTGAATTTACCACAGGTGGACTCCAATCAAGTTGTATATACATTTCGAGGATGATCAATGGAAACAGGATGCACCTGAGCTCAATTTCGAGTCTCATAGCAAGGGGTCTGAATACTGATGTAAATACGTTTTTTTTTCTGTTGTCTTTTTTTTTTTTGCAAAACAAAACAAAAACTGTTTTCACTTTGTCATTATGGGTTATTGTGTTTAGATTAATGAGATTGTTTAAAAAACAAACAATTTTAGAATAAGGCTGTAACGTAACAAAATGTGGAAAAAGTCAAGGGGTCCGAATGCTTTCCGAATGCACTGTATACCAAAACAAGTGTCGGGGCTGCCATTTCACTGAAAAAACGAATCCCATACTTACTTTAGCTTTAAACAACAAATGATTTCATGTTTGTTTACCATCTTCCTTTCTCTTTTTTCATTGTTGTTTTTTCTTTACGTTTTATTGTTTTGTTTAGATAACAATCCCGATTCTGTCGTCACCATGGACGCACGGAACCGCTCTGGCCCCTCCACCTCCTCCCAGTGCCGCCCCTCCTCTTTCTCACGGCAACCGCCCCATGTCCTGATAATGGACGAGTCGCCGCCCTGGTGGTCGGAAACTAGTACTCTCAATAACTTTCTGACTCTCGCCTGTAGTCTGGAGGGACCCTGTAGACTGCCTTTACTGAGTCTCTACGCCCTGAGCAGACAGCATGAGTGTCTACTGCCCTCCGTGGTACGAATGAGAAAGGGATGGAGGGAGGAGGAGAGAGAGAGTCTGGATGGACCATGTAGACTGCCTTCACTGAGTCTGTACACCATGAGCAGACAGCATGAGTGTCTGCTGCCCTTCGTGGTAAGAGGGTGTGTGTTGTGGTGTGTGTGTCGCGTTGGCTTGTGTTGTCTCTCTTTCTGTATCTCTCTCTGCCTTTTACCTTGAACTAGTGTAATAAATACATAAATAATCTATTTTTCCTATCCCACCTTTCTCACTCTCTCCCTCTATCTCAGGTAGCATGTAATGAAGAAATAAATAATCTCTCTCCCCTCCTCCCCCCTCCTAGCAGGTGTGGGATAACCTGGCTTGTCTGCGTTCCTGTGTGGAAGAGGTGAGGTCCGTACACGGAGAGGGGTGCATCCTCGCCCATAGAGAGGAGCTCCTCAAACAAGCTGTACAGGACAGCCTACAGCAGTTTAAACAATACACACGACATGCTACCACTCCTAACCAGACCAACAACGGATCAGTCGAGGTGGTTTTCATGCAATAAAAGCTGCACATTTTGAAGTTACCATTAGACACAGATCTATGATCAGTTCCTTCCCCTCAAACCTAATCTCTGCCTTTAGGGGCAGCAACTCGAAATTATCTTAGATTCGTGTTCTCTAAATGATGGATCGACTTTCATGTCCATTTAGGTCATGAATTGTAACTGGATCCTAACTACAAAGATGCTTTGTTTGCTTTAGTTGGGTTTCCGACAGTGTTAAGAAGGCCTTGTCAAACCCAAATCCATTGTGGGCTAAAAGCACACAGAATCATTTCTAGCTAGCTAGCCCCAATAGGAGATTGTCCCGATGCACCATTTGGGAAAACAGTGTTTTGGATGGCTCTCATCGGAAGCTCCCGTCAGAGCCATTAGCAGTCTTGTTTCCGACAGCAGCTGATATGAATAGACCCATTAGAACACAGAAACACAGAACACACACACACAACACAGACAGTAAAGGCACACACACACACACACACCCATTATATCACAGAGACACTGAACATATGGCCCTCTGTTCTATCTTAGCTCTGTAACAGACCTCATATGTCTGTCTCCCAAATGGCACCCTATTCCCTTTATAGGCATTTATCCCCCATAGGGCTCTGATCAAAAGTAATGCACTATATAGGGTGCCATTTGGGACACACCCTCTCCCACCACTAATATCCTTCTACACAGGAAGAGACAGGATAAAACATGGTCTGTGTCCCGAATTGCACCCTATTCCGTATGTAGTGCAATATTTTTGACTCACATCTGATCTTTTAAAGAACTGATCTGATTTGTCAAAGATCAGTTAGTGAAAAAAAGATCTGAATTGGGTTGCCTGAATGGTTGACTGATTGACTGATTATTTGACTCATTGATCTCCCATTGGCTCCCAGGTAACCGTGGTGATGAGCCAGCAGGGCGTGTCATGGTGTGGCAGCTGGGGCCTGGGTTGAAGGACGCTGACCTGGTGTCTCTATGGTGCCTGCTAGTGGTCCACGTCATTACTGCAGGTTTGAACCTAAAAAATACATTTGTACCATTGCTTGTATGATTCTCTCTACCATTGTTAATTGATATTGGTATCAATATAAACTTATAATAAATAAGTAAGTAAGTAAATAAATAAATAAATAAAAAGTTACTACTGCAGGGAGATGAGAGACTGACTTTTGGGTGCAGGACACACCCTTACCTGAGGCTGCAGGGGAGACTGAAGGTAGAAAAACACACACAGGATACACACATGTACACACACACAGGATACACTCATGTACACACACACACACACACACACACACACATACACCTACATACATACACACAAGCAGACAGTAGGAAAACACACACACTTCAGAACTCTGTCTTGATTACACGTATTAGTGTGCTATTTCAAGCTGACACCATGGCTTCATCCCAAATGGTACCCTATTCCATATATTGCACTCATTTTGACCAGGGCCCATACTACTCTTGTAAAAAGTGGTGCAGTACATAGGGGAAAGGGTACCATTTGGGACACAGCCATAAGAAAACCAGACTTTACATCCCCTTGAAAAAACCCAGTCATAAACTCTACAACTTACAGAGCTACATGTTAACCCAAACACCATAAAATCCAACAAATGTATCTTGTAGACTCTAATTTTGTAATTACGTGAGAGTGCTGAAGCCTTGAAGTTTAACGGCTGTGTGTGTGTGTGTGTGTGTGTGTGTGTGTGTGTGTGTGTGTGTGTGTGTGTGTGTGTGTGTGTGTGTGTGTGTGTGTGTGTGTGTGTGTGTGTGTGTGTGTGTGTGTGTGTGTGTGTGTGTGTGTGTGTGTGTGTGTGTGTGTGCTGGGCTTGCAACGCCAGGATTGTGGGTTCGATTCCCACGGGGGGCCAGTATGAAAAATGTATGCACTCACTAACTGTAAGTCGCTCTGGATAAGAGCGTCTGCTAAATGACTAAAATGTGAATGTAAATGTATGGGAGAGTTGACAGAACAGCTAAATTACAAATCAGTTTAGAACCACACAAATACTGTATATAGACAGGTGTGTGCCTTTCCAAATCATGTCCAATCAATTGAATTTACCACAGGTGGACTACAATCAAGTTGTAGAAACATCTCAAGGATGATCAATGGAAACAGGATGCACCTGAGCTCAATTTTGAGTCTCATAGCAAAGGGTCTGAATACTTATGTATTATGGGGTATTGTGTGTAAATTCATGAGAAAAATGTTTTATTTAATCCATTTTAGAATAAGGCTGTAACGTAACAAAATGTGAAAAAAGTCAAGGGGTCTGAATACTTTCCAAATGCACCATATTTACTCCCAATATAAATAGTTAGCGGTATCTGTGTCCTGACTGAAACAAAAAATCTACAGGGTAATGTTGTTTTTGTGATAAATATTTTTGCCGGGTGTTGGGATAAGATGGGTAGCTATCATGTTTAAGGAGAAGACCTAGATGCAGACGGTGTCCAAGTAACAAAATATTATTACAAAAACAGGGGGCAGGCAAATGACAGGTCAAGGGCAGGCAGAGGTCAGTAATCCAGATCAGAGTCCAAAAGGTACAGAACGGCAGGCAGTCTCAGGGTCAGGGCAGGCAGAGGTCAATAATCCAGGGTTGTGTGACAAGGTACAGAACGGCAGACAGGCTCAGAGTCAGGACAGGCAAAATGGTCAAAACTGGGAAAACTAGAAAACAGGAACTTGAGAAAGACAGGAGCAAGGGGAAAACCGCTGGTAGGCTTGACGAAACAAAACGAACTGGCAACAGACAAACAGAGAACACAGGTATAAATACACTGGGGATAATAGGGAAGATGGGCGACACCTGGAGGAGGGTGGAGACAATCACAAAGACAGGTGAAACAGATCAGGGTGTGACAGGTAGCACTCGAAAGGAAAATATTTATCTTGTAAATAACTTGGATAGTTACCGTCTTGTAGTATCTGCCTCCTGTCTCAAAGTAAAACTATCAAGCTATAGTATCCAGGCAGCTACACTAGTATCACTAATATTTTCACAACAAAGATAAATAGTTACCCATATCTGTAAAGACCAAGTGAAATTTGATATACAACTTTATTGAAACCATTGCATTTGCCAGCCCAAGTATACGTAGATTGATAGTTACCCTTGTGTAGGCTGAGTGAACTTAAATACTAGATAGTTACCCCATAGATAGACAGTTCACTTGCTAGTGTATGTAAAGTAGTAGGCTGAGTGAATTTTGATACAGTATCGTTTGTGTTAAATGGTTGTACAGGGTGTAGGAATTTGGGTGTGAGTAGGTTCTGGAATGTTAATTGTGTCAGTGGGTGAGGTGATTTTGGATTTTGGAATTGGAATGTTTGTGTTTCTACAGATTTGCATTTATCTCATTCGTTTCCCTGAAATGGTTTGTACCACATCATCGGTTATGCATTCAGGCACCAGATTGCTATTAGATGTCGGTCAAGTTCCTCTGCTCAGACGTTGCTGACGCATGCCAGATCTTACAACGCCTAGATGGGTATTATACCTATCAGCTAACCACATCATATGGTATAGCAGTCTGGTGCCCGACTGCACAGTCGATGATGTGGCACACAACAATTGGTTGATTCATGCAACGTCTGAGCACACTTTTTCTCACACAGTCACACAGAGTATCTGCGCATGTGCACAGGTGCGCTTCACACTGCTACAACTTAGAAGCTACAGGACCAAAACAGCTGAAATATTAGCCTTGCACTTCAATGCTCCTGGTTGTTAAGGAAATTGACACACTACTACTGTTTACTGAACTTGAACACCGCACGTGACAAGAAGTTGCCCCCATCCCTCCCTCTAATTGGGCAACTTTACAGCATTTTCTTTGTTGTCTGAGTGAGGGGAAATTCTGTAAATTAAGAGGACTCGATGTATTTTGAAAGATGAGACCTTGAGGATTATAATAAATACCGCTTTGATGTCATACAAGCAAGCCAAACACCCATGAGTCCAAATGTGCAGTTCACATATCCATATCCTAAAACTCATGTCATATACAGTGTCAACGTTTATGATCACTATGTTTGATGTACAGTTACAAGATGACATGGTGTCATACTCTGGGTTCTGAACAGAATGAGCCTATGTTTGTCTGTTGTGAAGAAAAACGCAACGGAACATGCACCTGAATGCCGTCATGATGACTCCTTTTTATGCTCACCAGAATTACTGTATTTTCCTCTGAATTGCCTTGTGAAAGCGTAACACTGTAATATCTTATCTTATAACATAGCTAGTGATGTTGGCAATAGAACAAGCTTTCAAATGATGCCCACCTGATCTAGATTGCGATTTATAATGGTCTGTTATTGGATTGCGTAAACAACAACATGAATTGTGTGATGGCGGGAATGCAGGGTTGGGTGACAAATAAAACACCATTGTGCTTGCTCTAGTTCCTTAACGGCACAGCTAGGAGAGCTCAAAAAATAACCTTCTAGTTGAAGACTCTTATTTGAGTCATAAAAGTGCATTGAAATGACTTAGGAACTGTGCACACTTTGGAGAGGTGTGTGGCCACTTGGAGACACTAGTTCGTCCTCTCACTCAAACCCTTATCATTGTTTTGTCTTATGTTGCACCTATCCCACATTTTCCAGGAATATTCTTATGTTACTGAATGTATCCAGAGTAATTTCAGATTTCGTTATCAACAAAAGCGGTGAAAAGTACAGTACATGTAAAATGCACATAAAATCAACAGTATAATGTTTGGATTCAGTCTTGTCAGGTGAACTGTTGTCCTCAACTTTGGTCTAATAATTTTCGCATAATCTCCAAACTGTTCCCTTTCAATTGCTACAATGCTTATGCATTTCATATTTCTTCTATGAGAAACATTTCAATTTTCCCTGTCCATATAGGCCAATTCCCACAAGGGTAAAGGGTTAAACCTAACCTAACCTACAGTGCCTTCAGAATGTATTCATACCCCTTGACTTATTCCACATTTTGTTGTTACAGCCTGATTTCAAAATGGATTGATATATTTTTTCTCACCCATCTATACACAATACCCCATAATGACAAAGTGAAGACATATTTTTGCAAATGTATTGAAAATTAAATACAGAAGTATTTTCATAAGTATAAGTTGTTATCAATAAAACGTCACAATACGGCGCAGTGTTCAATTTGGCTGCTGGGGAGCAGCTGGCAAGGACACCCCCAGCTCGACTAAAACCATTGACAACTACGTGCCGTTTTCAAGGGATTGTTAAATAAATGTTATAACTATTTGGTTTTAATATCATCACCTCTTGAAGAGCATAGTCAGAACTACACATTTCCGATTATTCCACATTTTGCCCTATCATCAGAGTTATAAAGCAAGTAACTGCATTCCTTTCATGATCAGTAAACATCAATTGATCATGTAATTTCAGATACATGTGCGTAGCCTATCCATTGGGATTTAGCTAACTAGCTAAGCAAACAATATGTCATCAGAGATTAAGCTTTTGAAAAGAGCTTGACATCGGCAAGTCCTCATCCTAGTAAAGTTGTCAGTCGGACTTCTGTCATCACCACTATAAATGGCAAGCAAATCAAACAATAATTGGATATAGCCATCTAGTTTATCACCTGAAAGTTAGCTTAACTAGCCATATTGATGTGATCTGTTATTAGCTAGCTAGTGCTCCATCAATCACTGTAGCCTATTATGGCTGTTGTTAGCAATCGTGATTAAACACTCTTAAAAACAATGTTGAAAAGGGGATAATGTTAGCTAACTTCTCTAGGTATGCCTACAGTACGTTGGTTGGAGAAAGAAGTACATTGGGTCTATTTACCACTATAATTAGCCAACTGTACAAAGTTTTTACCGGTAGCTTGCAAAGTAAACAGTATCAGCTAACAGTACATCACCAAATGCGTCCACAAAGGATGGGGAAATT